AGTTTATATAGGTGGTCATACAATTTGGGCTGATATTTGCTTCATTTCATATTAGTATTTGTGTTTTCCATTATTGATTTTTACTTCTGATATCTTTGTATTCATTTCTTTCTTTCTATATATTTCGTATATGTCTTTTTCAAAGTATATGAGTTTTTTCTTTCTGTTCAAGCCAGACAGTGCCTTCTATATTAACTATATATTACAGTGTTAATGCAGTTTAATTTTGATGGCCACTTTGCTATTTGTTATTTGTTTGTCTCATATGATACTCATTTCCTATTTTGTTTCCATGTAACCTGCATACGTCCTTCCATATACTGTAAAGCACCTCTAGTATAACCTGTAGACATTCCTCTCTACTCTGTAAATCACCTGTCATACCCATTACAATTTAAATCCTATGTAAATAGCTATTATACTGAATTGTTCATAGGATAATGATGGTTTGTTCAAAGACTGAATTTTTTTTTTATTGTGAAAATACTGTACAGAAGGACTACAATTACATGGGCAAGATAATGAGTACATTTCTTATCAAGCATTGTAGCCTCCTCCTTTGTTTAAAAATATGGAACGCTTCACGAATTTGCGTGTCATCCTTATGCAGGGGCCATGCTAATCTTCTCTGTATCGTTCCAATTTTAGTATATGTGCTGCCGAAGCGAACACCAAAGACTGAATGTTTAATACAGTTGCCATACTTTTTCCAATATTTTGGCTCTATGGTTTACTGCATCTGTGCAACTTATAAATATGCAAGGCCCGTATATCCCTTTTAAAGGGCTGTTATGTAGTACCTGTAATCTTGTCTGATAGTTACACTGTGTTCTTCATAAAGAAGTAATTAGAGATTTTTTTTGTACAGAACAAAGGCCATCCTAGGACTGAAGCATAGAGCTTTGGCAGAAGTAAACCATGCACAAAAATTGTATACAGGAACTGCAAGAAAATAAATTTCCTGTCCAGTCTGATTAATTTGTATGGTAGACAAAGGACACTAACATGCTCAGTGTAGTTCACTCTATTATTACCAAGTACTCTAAGAGTTTACAATATTCTCACAGTACCAGCATATGACATCATATAATATAGTTACTTTTCAGTGAGATAATTCCATTAATAACCTAACACTATTGGCCTTTTAGTTTCTTTTTTGGTGGAATTAATTCTTTGAACTCAGGCCCTCATATTTGCCCAGGAAGTACAATATCAGCTGATCCATTTACCTAACCCATGTACTTTATTTTTAATACACTTATGTGTTTGTATATTGAATTTTCATGCTCTATGAATAATGATATGGTGCTATGTTTTCCTTGCACAAATCATTTTCATCATTTCGTCATTTTAGAAAAATTACATAAAATGTATGTTCTATACATTCATACATTCCTTTATCCTTACCTAAACATTTACTGTTGGGTTTTGTTGTTGTTGTTGTTGGTCGATAATGCAGCTTGAACTCTAGGCCTGGGCACTGTCCCTGAGCTCTTCAGCTCAAGGCCAGCGCTCTACCACTTGAGCCACAGCACCACTTTTGGTTTTCTTGTAGTTTATTGGAGTTAAGAGCCTGCCTGGGCTGGTTTTGAACTGCAATCTTCAGATCTCAGCCTCCTCAATCGCTAGGATTACAGGTGTGAGCCACCAGCACATGGCACATTTACTGTTTTATATCTATGTTGACTCCTTTTGGTGTTCTCTTGGGGGAGAATAATTTCTTGTAATACTCTTAAATACAATGTTTTTTTAATGAAGTATCATTTCCTGAAAATGTCTTCAATCTACATTTTAGGAGAGTGCCTCAGCCCAATTGTGAATTGAAGGATATTTTCTTTCTTACAGATATATTTCCATTTTTGGTGTTAGTCAGCCTCTACACCTCTAGTATTTTCAAGAATGGCTAGATTGGAAAAATTGCTGTACAGTCTTCATTTGTAATGGGTTTGATATGGGAGTAAAAAAATCTCTCCTTTTAGTCTCTACAGAACAAATTAGTACTATATTTCATTTGAACTTTAAAAAATTTCTTGTATATTTTTTAGATCACATGCCTCCTTTACTTAACTTTTTTTTTTTTGGATGGTCGTGGGGCTTGAACTCTGGGCCTGCGCACTGTCCCCAGCTCTTCAGCTCAAGGCTAGGGTTCTACCACTTGAGCCACAGTGTCAAATCTTATAAAGGCCAAATGAATAATTAGCTAATTTCTTTAAGCAAACATTTCTACTTTCATTTTTCTTTCTCGCATTGTATAGATAATACATCAAGCCCCAAATACTCTATTTAAGACAAAAACATGCATGTAGAAGAATGAAATTCCAGACTTGATATTCTCATGACTAAAGGCGCACGCGCGCACACACACGTATATACACACATACATGCACACACATACATACACACATACACATATTTTTACTTGATGGAAATGTGCCATTACAGAAACTGGTGTCATTTGATGATGTGGCTGTGGACTTCAGCTGGGAGGAGTGGCAGGACTTGGATCTTGTTCAGAGGACCCTGTATAGAGATGTAATGCTGGAGACCTACGGCAACCTGGTGTCCTTGGGTGAGCAAAAGTCACATTCATTTGTTAGGTCAAGTGTTTTTAGTAGATATGTGAACATTTATCAAACTTGCATTGGTATTTGAGTAGAAGATTCCAGTCCATGCATGCGAAGTATCATTCCTTTTTCAGGAAAACTTCAACTTGATTATATAACTCGTGAGGCATTTGTATTCTTTTTTCAAGTTGCCAAGTAAGAAGTGAGACAAAAGTTCTAAACTGTGTTCCACTAACACGAGACAGTCTTCCCACTTGAGACAATTTGTTGTAGGTGGATATACAATGTAGAGTAGAATGTATATGACTATTGGAAGCATGATCTGGGAATCACTAGATGAAAGTGGGTATTTATTATTCAAGTGTGGTATTGGGTGCGGTGGTTCATCCCTTTAATCCTAGCTAATCTGGTGGCTAAAATCCAGGATTTCAGTTTGAAGCCAGTAATGGCAGCAAAGACACCACAAGACTTATCTCCAATTAACCACTTAAAAACTGGAAGTGGAGCTGGGACTCAAATTGGTAGAATGCTAGCCTTCAGCAAAAGAGCTGAGTTCAAGCTACATAACTGGCAAAATAAATCCAAAGCTGGGGGCAAGTTAACTATGGATCCAGTGAGGAATGAGAAACAAGATTTAGTAGCAACCTTGTGAATAGGATGTCTGAACTTTTATAGCAGTGATGCCCCAGCATGAGCAACAGTTCTTCACTGGTTCTTATTAGCAGGGCCCTGTGTTCCTAAACCTGATTGTCAAGCTGGAGGAAGGTGCAGAACCATGGATAGGAGAAGCCTCAGACAAGAATTACACAAGTGAGTTAATACACCTTGCATAGTGATGTTGGATTGAGAGCTTGGTTGGTAAGTTCATCTTGCATTGTACTGAGCAATAATGTTCCTACTTCCCCTGAGTCCTGAGTGTGGTAGAGAACTAGGTGATCCTTTGTCTCAAAGACTTGTGAATCCAGAATTCATACGGAAACACTGAACTCTGTGTGGCAGTAGAATTAAAGTTAGCAATTCTCTTTCTCCTTGTAGAAATTACTCTGAAACAAAAAACTAAAATGAGAAATTTAGAATATGAGATTTCATTTTCTTTGAAATTCGGAGTGTGCTGGTATGAGGAAATAAGTAGTATGCCAGGGTTGCTGTCCTTTAATAAGGAAAATAGCTTATCAGTGGTGGGCAGATACTGGGATTCAGAAGCAAAGCATTTAGTCTAAAAAGGCTCATTAAGGGGGCTGGGAAGGTGGCTCAGTGGTAGAGCGCTTGCCTTGCATGCATGAGGCTCTGGATTCGATTCCTCAGCACCACATTAGCAGAAAAAGCTGGAAGTGGCGCTGTGGCTCAAGTAGTAGAATGCTAGCCTTGAGCTGAAGAGCTGAGGGACAGCACTCAGGCCCAAAGTTCAGGCCCCACAACCGACATAAAAATGTACTCACTATCTACAGTATGTAACTGTAACCCCTCTGTACATCATCTTCACAATTAAAACAAACCATTCCTGCTTAGATGAAAGGCAAGGGGATGTATAAAATACTCTTAATGGTCTCTGAGTCTAGTAATTATTCGTATGTCTCACCTAATAGATGAAAAGCAAAGTAGAAAAATACATTTTTCAAGAAAAGAAAAGGAAACAAAGCAGCATTCCCCTATGGTCAAACAAAACAATATTTGAAAAACACAACCACAAAAATACTAAAGGCAGATGGCAAATACTCAGCTTAAAACTCTAGCAGTATGTAGTTGAGTAAATATTTTTCCTGATATAAAAAGAAGAAAAAACTGAAATACAGAAAAACATTTTCCATTGTAAAATATCATTATTACTTTCTTAATTAATGTATTAGGCAGAAGAGTATATTTTTCATAAAGCTATTCCTACTTTGATACATTTTTTGTCAGTCCTGAGGCTTGAACTCAAGGCCTGGGCAGTGTCCTTGAGCTTCTTTTGCTCTATACTAGCACTCTATTGCTTGAGTCACAATGCCACTTCTGGTTTTTTCTGTTTATGTGGTACTGAGGAATCAAACCCAGGGCTTCTTGAATGCTAGGCAAGCACTCTAACACTAAGACATATTCCCAGCCCCATACTTTGGTATTTTAAGTCTCTAACAGATAGGATGGGAGAAAATGTCTTTACCTTTACATTAAGGAATTTTTTTTTTTTTTGGGTCCGGTTGTGGGGCCTGAACTCTGGGCCTGGGCATTGTCCCTCAGCTTTTCAGCTCAAGGCTAGTGCTCTACCACTTGAGCCACAGCGCCACTTTCGGCTTTTTTCTTTTTGCTTGTGTGGTGCTGAGGAATCGAACCCAGGGCCTCATGCATGCAAGGCAAGCACTCTACCACTGAGCCCACCTTCCCAGCCCCCTCATTAAGGAATTTTTGGTCTTATGTTTTTGTCTTTTTTTTCTCTGACTCATTTTAGATGTCCAAGAAATGGAGGATGTGATTAAGAACTTCCAGGAAAGTCCACGTGAATGTCTGTGTGAAGTAGCTGTCAAAAATAGTAACACAGTAGAAGAAAGTATGAGAACTTTTGATTTGAGTGATGAGCAGCAATGTAAGTCTACTCTCCTTGCCCAAGAAATACTTCAGGGCCAGAGGAAAACACCTGAATGCACTGGATGTGGTAAAACCTTCTATTTAAGACATACAGTCACTACACATCAGAAAATGTGCACAAGAGAGAATCCTTGTACATATAATGTATGTAAAAAACCTTTCAGTAGGGAAATTGTCCTTGCAAAACCCCATAGCAAATATGCAGAGAAGTCCAATGATTATATCCAGTGTGAAAAATCTATGTCTCTGAAGTCAGATCTGACTTTCCCACCTCAAACACCCACAGAAGAGAAACCCTATCAATATGAAGGACGTAGGACAAATTCTACCCAGAAGTCAGCTCTCAATCAGTATCAGAGAAGTCACACAGAAGAGAGAACTTATGAATGCGACAAATGTGGAATGTTTTTCAGACTGAAGTCATACCTCACTTCACATCAGAGAAGACACACAGGAGAGAAACCTTATGAATGTAACAGGTGTGGAATGTCTTTCACCTGGACGTCACAACTTACTATCCATCGGAAGACACACACAGGAGAGAAACCTTATGAATGTAACAGGTGTGGAAAGCATTTCACCCGGAAGACACAACTTACTGCCCATCAGAGAACACACACAGGAGAGAAACCTTATGAATGTAACAGGTGTGGAAAGCATTTCACCCGGAAGACACACCTTAATGATCATCAGAGAACACACACAGGAGAGAAACCTTATGAATGTAATGTGTGTGGAAAGTCTTTCACCCGGAAGACACACCTTACTGATCATCAGAGAACACACACAGGAGAAAAACCTTATGAATGTAACATGTGTGGAAAGTCTTTCATCAAGAAGGCAAACCTTACTGTCCATCAGAGAACACACACAGGAGAGAAGCCTTATGAATGTGTCAAGTGTGGAAAGTGTTTCATGAGGAGGGCAGATCTTAATGTCCATCAGCAAAAACACACTGGGGAAAAACTTTATGAATGTAACAGGTGTGGAAAGTCTTTCACCCGGAAGACAGAGCTTAACATCCATCAGAGAATACACACAGGAGAGAAACCTTATGAATGTAACAGGTGTGGAAAGCCCTTTACCCAGAATTCACACCTCATCAAGCATAAGAGAATTCACACTAGTTAGAAATCTTAGGAATGTAAGGAGCCAATGATTGTGCCAAAGGTCTGATAAATTGACAGGTGTTACAGAGGAGTCTACGTGGTTTCAAATGACTGGGTGAGTTTGTGCTCACTTATACAAAGCACCGCATTCAATGAATGAACCGTAATCTTACTGCTTACTCCAAAGCGACATAAATATATATCGCTATCTATTGATCTATTTGCCTGTATTTGAAAGAGTATATCAAATAAATTACCAATTAGTGAGATTGATATTTCAAATCAAGAAAAAAATTTTTTTGGTCAGTCTTGGGGCTTGAACTCTGGGCTTGGGCACTGTCCTTGGGCTCTTCAGCTCAAGGTGAGCGCTCTACCGCTTGAGCCACAGTGCCACTTCTGGGTTTCTAGTGGTTTATTGGAGATAAGAGTCTCACGGACTTTCCTGCCTGGGCTGGCTTTGAACTGTGATCTTCAGATCTCAGCCTCCTGAGTAGCTAGGATTACAGGCGTGAGCCATCAGCGCCCAGCCAAGAAAGCTTTTTATTTTACATGTCACATTTATTCTTAATTCAAACAAATTTTCACAATGAAAATACATTTTAAATGCTGCTCATTGTTTGTCATGATGGCACTCTACATTGGTTACACATTATAATGTGTGGTTGAAGGATTTATTTTTTTGAAACAAAACTGTTCATGGCAAACTCTAGTGGCAGGTGCTCATTGTGAACATTCCATGATGACCTCTCGTCATGATTATGAGATGATACAGTCTTGCCTTCTACTCAGTCAAGAGGTTCACATTTAAATGGTTGGAACATTCTCATGTTCCCGTGTCTAGTCATGAGAAATGGGAAATCTGAATTGCTGTGGAAAGTATGTTCATACAGAGCATCTGAATGCTGTTTTTACACATGACTGTTCAATGTTAATCTATATTCCTCTGCAATTTTTTACTTTTTAAATTTGTTACAAAATTCCATTAAATTACTCAATTTTTATTTTAGATCATGCTATGAAAATATTTTTCCCAATTTCAAGTATTGTAGTTTTTCTAATTTAGTTTTGGTAAACATCTTTTTTTTTTTTTTTTTTTAATGTTTTTTGGGTCCGGTCGTGGGGCCTGAACTCTGGGCCTGAGTGCTGTCCCTCAGCTCTTCAGCTCAAGGCTAGCGCTCTACCACTTGAGCCACAGCACCACTTCTGGCTTTTTTCTTTTTGCTTATGTGGTGCCGAGGAATTGAACCCAAGGCCTCAGGCATGCAAGGCAAGTGCTCTACCGCTGAGCCAACTTCCCAGCCCTGGTAAACATCTTGTAAGAGAACAGATAACAGGGATCACACATACACTGCCTTTATTAGATGAATGAACTTGTGATACTAAATAGAACAATGTCAGAATTTGAGGTGTGGCACGTGGAATAGAGTGCCAAGCTTTACCATAGAAGCCAAAGAAGACTAGAGTGCCATGAATTTAAGGCTAATAACCAGTAAAAGCAAACAAAAGAAAAATGGATATAGTAATAGAATTTCATCAGACAGTAATTATACATCATCTTCTTCCTGTAGATAACCAAATAGAGAATGTTAGACATGGAAATCCAGATACTTAGGTGTGTTTTCAGAGCATAGTACTGAGATTGTACTGCTATCTTAGTCCCTGTTAATCGGGCCCTACTGGGGGAGTGATCAGAGGGAGTAGCGCCATCAGGACAGTGTAGTAGACACTGGGTGGTGGAGGGAAAACAACTTGGGTGTTCCTCTGAGTGATTGGTGCTGTTAGGGACTGTGGCACTAACTTTATACGGGAGATCAATTGCTGTTCCCCTGTCCTAAAGATGATAAGACTGACTGAGTCCTTCATTGGTGAGGAGGACTTGAGAAGGAAGATACCTGTTCTCAGGTGTCCTGGCCCCCTGGCTTGTTCTTTAACTCAACTCAGTAATCAACAGAAAGTCATCATTCTCTAAACATCAGTTTACTAGGGCACAAGGCCTCCATTAATTAGCTTAAGTGCTCATTGGGGCTGGTCAAAGAAAAATTATTGGCACAAACATCAAGTGGCAATTGGTTCAGGATGTTCTGAGCTCTGGGCAGTCTTGGGGGCCAAGTAGAACACTGGTCATAGATGGGGTCACCTACTTACTGATAATGAAGGCCCCTAGAAGCCTTTGACAACAAGTATATGTTTAGAGAGGATTTTCACAAGTAGTCTCTTCATCATGCAGAAGCTGATCTAATTTTGTTCAGGAATGGAAATGATTTGAACCTTCCCATGGTTCAAGCAATCTAGAGCATCAGTCTTTCCAGGATCCCTTTGTTGCAGAAGGGTTTAAGAAAGGGATTAAGACTTGCTTTTGGCTCTAGATTCCATGACACCATGCAAGGAATCAAGCATTGAGGGAACTCTAACTTCAGCACCTAATGAGACTTTTTTCTCATTACCATCACTCAGGAGTGTTGGGAATCTGAGGAAGTGTTCAAAAATCTCTCAATTCTTGCTCTGCCCTTCCCTGAGAGCATGGTTGAGATCACAGGAAACAGATATTCATATGAGCTGCAAATTATTTAACCACATAAAGGAAGCAAGTGAAGGCTTACCTTTTTTTCCCCAAGGTTAGTCAATTTGATTAACAGGCACAGGTAACATTTCCACAACATCAAACATGGAACCTTGACACAGAATCATCTATACATGGTATAGATTCCACTGTTCTTTTAAATCCAGGGCATCAGGCTGCAACCCTGTGATTTCTGTCACCACTGCCTATGTCTGATCTGTTTCGTGTGAATTCCCCACAGTGAAGACTTTGGCCCATAACCATTCTGTGATGGTCAAGCCTATGCCACACTGGTAAAAATACAAAAGCATATTCTCATTCACACCAATTTGGCCAAAGGATTAAAAAGAAAAATCTTTTTTTTTGGGAGGGGGTCTGGTTGTGGGTCCTGAACTCTGGGCCTGGGCGCTGTCCCTCAGCTCTTCAGCTCAAGGCTAGCACTCTACCACTTGAGCCACAGTGCCACTTCCAGCTTTTTTCTTTTTGCTTATGTGGTGCTGAGGAATCGAACCCAGGGCCTCAGGCATGCAAGGCAAGAGCTCTACCACTGAGCCACCTTCTTAGCTCCAAAAAGAAAAATCTTATATATATCTATGTATATATATATAATATATTTTTTATTGTAAAGATACTGTACAGAGGGGTTACAGTTACATGAGTAAGGTAATGAGTACATTTTGTATCAAGTATTGTTACCCCCTGCTTTGTTTTTCCCTGCCAACTCTTCTGGCCCCAACTCTCCTCTCCCCTGGCCCAAAATTGTAAAGCTCATTTTCAACATAGTGTCTTGTATATCTCATTGGTACAATGGGTCAACTTGTATTCTTTCAGCATTTTGTTATTTCCCTTCCCAAATTAGAAAAATGTATATATAAGATGCAGGGCACCAGAATCAAATACATTGAAAAAAATGGGTAATACCATGGGGGAAGAACATACCAAAAAAAAAATCACTTAGTACATTGTAAATGCATTAAGAACAACAGCAACAAAGATAAAACATATTGTGTCACTATCTTGGGGTTCATTTTGCTTAACATCTCATATGCTCCTATATACTTACCTTTTGACCTTTTCTGCTTGTTCTAGACATATACTAGATATTGCCAATAAGGAAAACCATGGGACCTATGTTTCTTTGGGCCTGGCTTACTTCACTTAATACACATTTTTCCAAGTCTGCCCCTAACAAATGGGGCAATGTCATTCTTTCTGATGGAGGCATAGAATTCCATTGTGTATATGTCCCATATTTTCTTGATCCATTCATCTACTGAGGGGCCTTGCCGCGGACCGGCTCTGTCAGGACGACGGAGGACACCTAGTGGAGGAACTGGAATAGGTGGGGAGATGGCAAACAGACAACTCACACACAAGAGGAGTGGATGCTGAGTGCGATTTAATGCAGAGGATAACAAATTTTTATAGCAAAAGTCTCCATGAGAAAGGGCAAAAGGTTACACAGTCTTGCTGCAGGGCTTCATGGGTGGTCACCAGCTGGTCGCCTGATAGGCACTTGTTTCCGGCTTATCTCTAAGAAATACAATGGGTTTCGATGTTTGTCACCAATTAACCATTACCTATTTTTATAGAGGCCTTAACTGTCCCATAAGATCTTTCCTGTTCTCAGGTCTGAAAGCTGGTTTCCCATGCTAAGCAGACTCCACTGGAGTAGGCGTGGCAGGGCCTCTGGGTTGATTCCATATCTTAGCTATGGTAAATAATGCTGCAACAAACATAGTTGTGCTGGTAGCTTTAGGATGGTGTTGTTTGTGATCCCAAAAGTGGGATTGCTGGGTCATAGGGGAGCTCTGTGGAGTCTTTCTTTTTTTGGCGGTCATGGGGCTTGAATTCTGGGCCTGGGCGCTGTCCCTCAGCTCTTCAGCTCAAGGCTAGCGCTCTACCACTGGAGTATTGATATTCCTCCAGCACTTTTCTTTCTGCTAAGGATTGTTTTGCTATTTGGAGTCTTTTATTCTATATAAATTTTTCAGTTGCTTCTATTTCATTGAAGAATGAGGTTGGGATATTGATAGGTATCACATTGAATTTGTAGATAGTCTTTGGCAGTATTGCCATTTTCATGATGTTAATCCTCCCAATCCAGGAGCATAGGAGGTTTTTCTACTTCCTTAGTTCTGCTTTAATTTTCTTTTTTGAGGTTTTACAGTTTTCATTATAGAGGCCCTTTACTTCTTTAGTTTACTCCTAGGTATTTTATTTTTTGTGTGGGGCTATTACAAAAGGAGTTGCTTTCCTGATTTCAGCCATGCTCTTCTCATTATTGGCATCCAGAAAAGCCATTGATTTTTGAGGATCAATTTTTTTTTAATTTTTTTATTGTGAAAATACTTTACAGAGGGGTTACAATTACATGGGCAAGATAATAAGTATATTTCTTGAGATT